TGTAGGGGTAGATGGATACTTGATGGGGTATGGGGTAAAATTTCAAGTTTAAATCCATATTCAACTTGTCCACTTAACCAAATCTAAATGATTTCATTTATTTTGTTCTAATCCCTGCCTAGCCTTAAACCTCAACCTTTATCTTCCAGTCCGTGCCGTATTTAAATCTCCACGAATCCATTTACGTTGTTCCTAGTCCAAATCTTCATGTCTTTGTTTATGTTTTGGTGTTCTGAATCCCCCATCTTCCGTTGTCTCTTAATTATTTCGTCTTCACCTCCTCTATATCTTTATTTCATTGACGATTTCTACGATTATCTCAGTAATCAAAATGTTAGTAGTTTTTCTTTGTGATTTCTACTCTTTTATGATTTAGAATTAGTGTTTGTTTAAAGTTAAGATTTGGAAGTTAAGATTTAGGGTTAGGGTTGGTTTGTAAATCTAATTAATTTTGTGTATGTGGTTTTCCTCCTTGTAGATCCATCCATTAACAAAACCAGCAATATAGTGGATATATGGTCATTCAACGAAATATGAACTTATAGGGGATGACTCTAGTTTTTGGTATTTTTAAAGCAAAAATGTACTTCTGGAGTTTGTCCGAAAGACATGTTATTATGTAATTTGTTAATATGATATATGTTGGAAGTTAAGATTTAGGGTTAGGATTGGTTCGTAAATCTAATTAATTTTGTGCATGTGTTTTTCCTTCTTGTAGATCCATCCCTTAACAAAACCAACAATATAGTGGATATATTCAACGAAATATGAACTTCTAAGGGATGACTCCTTTTTTTTGTATTCTTAAAGCAAAAATGTACTTATGGAGTTTGTTCGAAGACATGTTATTCTGTAATTTGTTAATCATATATATATATATATATATATATATATATATATATATATATATATATATATATATATATATATATATATATATATATATATATATATATATATATATATATATATATATATATATATATATATATATATATATATATATATATATATATATATATATATATATATATATATATATATATATATATAATCTTTTTAGCTTTAACTCAATATTTCTCGATCCTTCATTCCTTAGCAAGAGTTCATTTATCTTTTGAGCCCAAATACTTGATTATATAATTTCAACTTCAAAAAAAATTGGATACAAATAGGTTAACTTATATTTAAGATAGACTTTAATTTCAATAAAAATAATATTATTTCAATAATAGTAATATTAATGATGATAGTTTTTAATTTCAATAATAAAATAGCTTAACATTTTCCAATTTTAAAAGAATTAATGAGTCTAAATTACTCATTTTTTTAAAATAATCTAGTAATTTTTTTTTGACAATTTTAAATAAATAGTATAACTCTGCTCTTTTGTTATATGAATTTTAATTTTGAAAAGGCCAACTTACACCCAATCTGTATCAAATTAAAAAATATAAAAAGAAAAAAATTTCTTAATGCATCTCATATATTTATAGTGCATTGCATAAAAATATAAAATATTCTTAATTTTTAAAAATATATTTTTGAACACACCAAAATACTTAAAAAACATCTAAAAATGAATCACCATCATTTTATCAAAAAATAAAAAACCAAAAATACACTTCATAAAAAAATTCGAAAGTGTACTTCTCTAAACACTAAGTAATATGTTTACTAAATTATTTTTAATTATATGTTTACCAATCATTGAAATGTCAAAATTAATCTAATACTCATCTCCATAGATACTGTTTGGATTACATCCCTATCCTTCTATGTTTTTATCCTAATAACTACTGCATGTCTAATGAAAAAAAAGACCAAGATGTTGGCTACTGCATGTCTAATGACCAAAAAGGGATTTTATGGAAGCATATTTTGAATTTTTTTCGGACTTTTTTTTCATTTACGAATAAATTTAAGGTGAGTTTTAATTAAAACGTATTTTTATTGTGAAAATGATGTATTTAAAATGTGTTTCTAAATTTTAAAAGGTAATTTTCGGATTTTCAATTTATCTTATAGAATGCATTAAGAGATTTAAAAAAAAATAGTTAGTTGGGCTTAAATTTCAAACTAACCCACTTTTTAATTGAACCGAAATTAACGAGGAATTAACATCTCACTTTTATTATACATGACATCCTTTAAAGAGTATGAAAAGATAAAATTATCCAAATTTAAAAAAATTCAAAAATTTTAAATGTGGTATAACACTGAAAATTTCAAATTCCATGTGCGATATTGGAAATTTAGAGGCGTATCAAAAATTTGCTGAACAAAGAATTTACGGTAGATTTATGATATTTCTGGTACTTTATACCGGAAATTTCAAAATATCTGGTATATTTGAACCAGAAATTTTAAAATTTCCGCATAATACATTTATCTTTTGTACCGAAAATTTCGAAAGTTCTGAAGCTTAACAGCATGTACCGGAACATTCTGGTAGTTCAATTTTTTTTGAAAAATACAGGAAATTTAGAAAATTCCGGTAGTACATATTTTCCTATGTTTTTCAATGTTTAAGTGAGGACCAGGGACAAAGATGATTCTGGTGCGGGTAGGGTGGCCGATAGAGCGGAAGCTTAGGCCTGGGCTGACGACGCACATGCTTCCGACGTAGCCCGTGGAAGGTCTATGTAGATTTGTTTTATTTTGGTTGCATTATATGTATATTTTGTGACACACAAACTTCTTTTTTATTGCATAATATTTTAGCGATTACATGTTCCGAATCGATGATGAACATAACATAAAACAATACAACAAACATAAACTAAAACAACTAAATATGAAAACCTAGACACTACCGGATGATTCTGGACGTTTCAACATCTTGATTATGTTGTCAACGGATCTTCAGATCTTCGCATCCAACTCGATCGGACCTTTAGTTATCCTACGGCGAAATGATTTTCACGTGGCCTTCACATCTTCATCATTCTTCAACTCGATCAGTTTGTATTTCACCATTCCATTTGTATCAATCCAATCTTCCCAAAACTCGATCTTTGTCACCCTTCTGTTATCAGAATCAAGTAAAAAATCATTCAATGTTTCTTTCAAGATGGCAAGGGATGCGGAGCCATATGGAATCTTGAATTCAACAGCAGGGTTACATCTGTTGTAATACACTTTCGCATTAATCAGATACAGGGGAAAAGCCATTTTTTGAGATATTTTTCTCTATAACTTATGTCCCTATTTATACAAATGGCGATGTATTCTAGATTAATGTTTTAAAAAACGATCGTTGTCGCCTCACGGTCGCGTAAAGTTTTTTTGCGATTTCGGTCGTTACAGGTGTATTGCGGTCGTCACAATGTGAATTAACCACAATTTGTTCTTCAATATATAAAACAATGGTAACGGTATCATCATCTTCCAAAACCGTTTTGTCGCGGTCGCAAACCATTTTTTAAAACCCTGTTCTAGACCACACAAATTTGTCGGTGCAATCTGAACCCTCCAAAAATATCGGCAAAATCTCAACCGTTAAAAAAACTTGAATACATGAACTACCTGAATTTCAGTATAACTCAAATTTCTGGTATTTTCTGGTATATTTTAAATTTCCGAAATACCACAAATTTCAAATACATTACCGGAAATTTACATACACTGAAAATTTTGTTGGAATATACCGGAATTTTCGTTCGTACCAGAAATTTCAATAACTCTATAGGAAATTTCGTTTGTAACTCAACAAAGATAATTCTGAAATAAAAAAAAAAATTAGAGGGTGGCATGTATAATTTAAGGGATGGGATGTAAATTCCTCGAAATTAACCGATAAAATAAATTGAACCGGTTTAACTCAAACTCGAAAATACCAAAAAAAAATCCCATCGGAATTTGGACTCCCTAATCCCATGTGTGGGTTGGTCCGTTAGGAGGTTTGGGCCCAAACCCAAACACCGGTGTCCACTCCTAGGATTTGGAATCAGCCTTTGATATCATTTGAGATGGAAACTCAACTTTTTATTCTCATTAACAAGTGAGTCTCTTATTCACACTAAGAAGAATGACCAACTAGTTCCTAATTCCTAATAGATTTAAGCATATATCAAATTTGATAAAATCTCCTAAAAGACAAACATGGAGAGTATACAAAGTCAATCAGAAGAAACTTTAACCCTCATTAGCTATGAGATTAATCGATTAAAATAACACCATTTGCCTTTTGCTCATCATTAAACTGCAAATATTATCATTGAAAAAACTTAGCTAGTCTACTTGGTAGTTGTTCTGTCTTCCTTATCAATATTGGCCAACATTGCCTAGTGTTCCCTATTCATTGACCCTAAATTTGGGTTATGAAACTCTATAACGAATCCAATGTCTTGAGAAAGGTCAAAAGCTATTAGTTTGACAAGAAAAATGTACATTCACAAATTCCACACTTGTTTATAATGATTTTTGACTATGTTTGGTTTAAAAGAAGTGAAAGAAAATAATTTTAAGGGTGAAAATGAGAGCTGAATTATATTAAATTCATTCTTCATAACTATAAAAAGTTGAATTTGCTGCAAAAAGTTAAACACAGAGATGAAATTTGACTTTAATTTCATATTCAAATGACAAAAACAAAAAAAATTAAAAGATCAATTTCATATTTTTTCGTCTCTAATTAATGTGACCAATTCAACATTTTGTTTAGTACTACACCCAGGTTTTCCTCCTGCAGAAAATTAACCTTCAAGAAATTAATTCTAGCTATGCTTGCTTACTTTTATTAGTTATAATAATTACTTGATTCCTTCCATTTCTCCTTAGGAGATGATAACAGATTTGAATTGTGTATCAATGCACTAGTCAACTCGATTGAGGGTCGTTTGATCAAGATCAGACAATTCAAATTTCAATATATATACTGAGATTTGAATAGTTTAATCTGAATCAGATAATTATCGATGTTGTTGACTTGTTCATTTATAGGACAATGATTAAATTTCTATTTGTAATGCTACTATATTGAATAAGGGTGTAGTCCTTCATGTCCAAAGTGGCTCCCACAATGAACTCGGACTATTGTTCTCCTCAAGAAAACTCAAACCAATTTGATTGCCACTACTCTCTAGAGGACTTTGAATGAAATCATCCATAGATTGTTGTGGTGACCCTTGTTCACTTTGTGACATGCAAAATAAAGCCACTAGATTAGCTTGTTGAAGTTGCATGTTTACAACTTCCGCTTGTGATTTGGCCAATTGTGCTTGAAGCTCATTCACTTGCTTTTGAAGTTGGCAAATTGCTCCAGCACAACCATAAACAGGATCTCTAATTCTCGCACTCGCCTCATAAACCATGCTCGTAACTGCATCGGCTCTTTGCGCCTCAGGTAATTCCTAATTTTTTAACAAAAAAAAAAGTTTAGATACTAGTTAGTTTGACTAAGTAAATGTAAACTATTGGTCCAGAGTTCAACCAACCACTGATGACAACATTACTTTGTATTAACGTAAACAAATTATTAATTATTTATGAAACGAGTAACTGAACGAACAAGTTTTTTTTCGTACCTGTAAGAATTTGATGATGTTGCTAGCACCAAAGACTCTATGAGCAATGGTAAACTTAGCCGGATGGGTAGGAGGAAAATAAGGAGCCAAAACACATTTTTCAGCAGAACATCTTCTCCTCAAAATCTTGCAAGCAGCACAAGGGCTCATAACAACAACAGCTTGTGGAGGTGAATTAGATGAAATTGAAGAGTTATATAAAAATGGAACAGAACATGTGTCACTAGTAGTACTTTCCATTGTTGTTTGTTTGATTTGGAAAAACTAAAGATTGTGGAAATATTTATAGAGGAAAATGAGAAAGTAATATAAACGTCATGAATTGAAAAGTGATGTCAGTGTTAAAATTAGTTAACTAACGTGGCTGCCTGCTTATGGTTTCCCACTTCTTCGTTAGGTGTTTGGGTTTTGGCTCATTGTATGAAAACTCTTTCAATATGTTTGAAAAACAATTTTTCCAAACACCACTATCTAGTTGAGTTTTTTTTCTACAACTTTTACTTTGATGACGGGTTGAGAAAAAATTAATTGAATTAAAATTATAATAATAGCCACAAGTGATTTATTTTCATATACAAAATTATAATAATAGCCACAAGTGATTTATTTTCATATACAAACAGATTTAGCATTTTCAAGAAATTTTTTTGTTGTTTGCCTAACTTGCCCGGTAACATGGAACTTGCCTTTCATAAAAAAACAAAAATTTATGTTAACTTCTATTTTATCATTATACTTAAATTTCCATCTCTAAAATTTGAATATGGAATATGTGAAGTCACAAGAGCAGGCAGTCAACATTTAAAAATGTTGTTTTTTTGTTATCAAGCAAAGAAATCATGAAGAAAAACAATGGCATAATGTTTGGAATGATTTGGTGCAATATTGAAGTATTGAGTTTAATTTTTAGTGTGAGCAATTTTATGTTTTTATTTGTTTATATTTAAAATAGTAAAAATATTGTGAAAAGTGCATCTGTCGAAAATCAAATTCAAGAGATCAATGATAATGGTCAGGCGCACAAACCATTAGATTATCACAATCTATCATGTCAAAATTGAACATCTACTTTTAATATAATAAAAGTGATTACTATCATAATTACATCATTAATCAACTAAAATCAGTTTTAACATGGATTTACAATGACATAAAGGTAATTACAATTCTTAATCATTAATAACCCTAAAAACCCTAATATATTTATTGCTTCACATTATTTCATACCATAATAAACGTTTTGGAAAGAGAATCTCATTATAATAATACCGTAATTAAATATTACAATTCATATTCAAATCCAAAATATTTTGAGTTCCGTGAATATCACATTGGAAACACAACAATAGACCTTTGCACTTCATATTCTGTTTATTGCTTTAACCAAATTCATGTATTTATTTATTTCCTCCCTCACCAAGCAATTGATTGTTTCATTCGTTCTTTCCAAGGACAGTTTCATCAACAATGAATAGTAATAGTGTTGTAAAGAATAAAAAGAAGAAGGAAGAATCAGTGAAGCTTTCAATCTCATCGATTGCAGTTACAATTAAATGTTTTTTGTTTGATAAATATATCTTTGTTGCAGTGATGATTAGTCGAAACGAAAAAAGTCTCATTGCCACTACCGTGTTCTCGTCGCCGGAGTCACAACCTCCGCCATCTCGGGTTTCTTCTTCCTTGGTAAGTTGATTAATCCCTTTTTTTCTTCTCTTCCTTTATATTCCCCCAATTTTTACCAAACCCTAGATTAAATAAAAAATCAAGTAAAAAATTATAACAATTAATTGTCGTAGTAAAAAATTGATATGGTTTTCTATAAGTAAAATCACTTGTTTTGAAGCAGTGAATGACTGAAATATATGAAGTTATTTGTGACATAAATGTATTATATTACACTTGAAACGACTAATAAATTGAACGAATCTCATACATCAAAGTATACAAAATTACCTGCCACATATATGTTTTATGTTAAATTTGAAACAATATGTCCGAGATATGACAAAATCAACAATTATATATAATTAAGATCTCATTACGTATGGAAATTTTATTTTTATGACTCTATAATTCATAAACCTAACAATAAAAAAAAAATCAAAAATTTACAATTTTGGTGATACGAGGAATCTCCTAAATTCTATAATCTACTATTTATTAGATGAAATAGTGCCATTAAAAGAATCTATAACATTATAAATCATGAGCAATGTGGGACTAAATGGTTTTTTTCAACCAAAAGGATATTCTAACAATGTGGGAATTGAGAAATTTTTAGATTCAACATATTAGAACATGGACATGTTCCAACAATCCCCCACTTGAATTTAAAAAATTGATTTTAGAAGTAACGTCAAACGTTTCTAAGATTGTGCATAAATAAAGGTGTCTACGACTTGAACCTTTGCATAGCAAGTAGGATTCCAATTCAACAAGAGTGACGCAAATGTCTTAAACTCTATCTCATACATCAAACCCGCACACAACCTTTTCTTAAGGTGTATTCTAATAGCCCGTGTTTTAATGACCATGTACGTGTATCCCAGTTTAATGAAGGCTCTAGGAATTCTGCCTCGAAATTCCATAGGAACTGGCCTAAGTTCCACAATCACATAGGTGAGTCTATCAAGAGTACTCCTGTAGCCTAGGTACTCCCTCATACAGAGTATAAATCTCATTAAGATTTTATATTATCTCATTCTCTTATTACTTCAGGATTCATGCTTTACTTGCATGATCATCTCATATTACTCACAACTCGTTGTTACCCATTAAACCTATTTCTTGAGATCTCCAGTCATTTAGGTCGGGTTACCATCATGAGCAACTCATTTTCCTATAGGTATTAGTCTCATCTTATATGATGTATTATAGACTTTCTCTCTAGCTAATCCTTTCGTCAAAGGATCTGCTAAATTTTCATCAGTGCGTACACGATCCACTCTTACAGCTCCTTTAGAGATGAAATCTCTAACAATGTTGCGTTTTCTTCTAATTTGACGTCTTTTACCATTATAATAACGATTCTCGATTTTTGCAATAGTCGCGGTACTATCACAGTGGATCATCACAACTGGCATATGTTTTTCCCATAAGGGAATCTCAATTAGCAAGCATCTTAACCAACTTGCTTCTTCGCTAGCAGTCGCTAATGCTATATTCTCAAGATAATATATTTCTTTGAATTCCAAGATACAACTCCTCTAGCTATGTTTAATACATAGCCAATAGTTGTTTTAGAATCATCTGATAAGGTATTCCAATCTGCATCATTGTATCCTTCAAGTACAATAGGAAATCTCTGATAATGTAAAACGAGATTCATGGTCCTTTTAAGATACCATATGACTCGCTCAATAGCTTATCAATGTTCATTACTCGGTCTACTAGTAAATTCGCACAATAATCCCACAACATATGTAATTTTGGGTTTAGTACAATCAATGGAATACCTAAGACTTCCAATGATGCTCACATATTCTGTTTGTCTAACACTTTCACCAGTGTTCTTAAACAGCTTCACGCTTGGATCATTTGGTGTGCTCACAGGTTTACTGTCAAAGTAGTTATATTTCTTTAAGATCTTTTTCACATATTGTGATTGATCCAAAGAAATTTCTTGTTGGGATCTCGTGATTTTGATACCAAGAATCATACTCGCTTCTCCGAGGTCTTTCATATAAAAGTTGTTGCACAACAATGATTTCATATCATTAATGGCCCGAGCGTTTGATCCAAATATGAGTAGATCATCTACATATAGACATATGATAGTGAAAATGCAATTCTCAAATTTGTAATAAACTTATTTGTCACTTTCATTCACTTTGTATCCATTCGATATCATTAAGTTATCAAACTTTACATGCCATTGCTTTGGAGCTTATTTTAGCCCATACAAAGACTTATCTAACTTACAAACCTTGTTTTCTTGTCCATAGATCACAAACCCTTCCAGTTGTTCCATATAGATTTCTTCTTCTAAGTCACCATTTAAAAAAGTTGTTTTAACATCCATTTGGTGTAGTATTAAGTTATAAATAGCAGCTATTGAAATAAGTACCCTAATAGATGTAATTCTAGTGACAGGAGAAAAGGTGTCGAAGAAATCTATATTTTATCTCTGTCTAAAACCCTTGGCAACAAGGCGAGCCTTGTATTTATCAATAGTTCCATCAGTTTTTAGTTTCTTTTTCAAAACCCATTTACAACCTATTGATTTGCAACCAGGAGGCAAGTCTACTAAGTGCCAGGTTTTGTTAGATTCTGGAGATTTTATCTCATCATTGATAGCTTCTTGCCATAAATCAGCATCCAGAGATGACAAGGCTTCTTGAAGATTCATTGGATATTCTTCTACATTATAAGCCACATAATCAAAACCATAGTCTTTAGCAACTCTTACTCGTTTATTTCATCAAAGTTCAGTTTCTACATTGTCGTTGCTTCTTGTGCTTCTTATCACAGGAATGTGACTCGATTGTGTACTCCACTATTTTTCAATTTGAAAGGAAATTTATCTTCATAGAATTCAGTATCATTTGATTCTTTGATCACTTTTGCCTTTATGTCATAAAACATATATGCTTTATTGTTTGCTACATACCCAATGAAAATACATTCATATGTTCTACTAGTGAGTTTAACTCGTTTCGAATCCGGAATTCTGACATAAGCCAGACAGCCCCAAGTTCTCAAATAAGACAAGTTTGGATGTTTTTTCTTTAATATCGCATAAGGAGAGATCTTACATTTTGACTTGGGGACTCTATTCAGGACATAGAAAATAGTCAATAAAATTTCCCCCCGCCAGTGAGGTGCAACACCAGAATTCATCATAATTGCAACAACAAGTTCAATAAGAGTTCTATTCTTTCTTCTGCTTTACCATTCATTTCAGGAGAATATGGAGAAGTCGTTTTATGTACAATTCTATGTATAAAATTCATTAATAAACTAGAATCATACAGTTTCTCTATCACTACAAATTCTTATTATATCATTCTCAAATTCTTTACAAAAATTTTAAACATATAAACTTCATTTTTCGTAATGGCGTACAAATCTACCCCAATAGAGTGACTAAACCCCGTCTTATTTAAAAGAAAACCAGAAACAATATTCTTTCTAATCTTAGGAACATGCATAACGTTCTTTAAGATTAAAGTATTTTTTAAAGTGAAATTTAGCTCCATATCTACAATTCCAGCAACATTCATGGTCTGGTCATCTCCCAA